AACCAAAACTGAATAGAGGAATTTTATGCAAATGCACATACACACAGGAAAACAGCATCAGCAAACATTAAGGAAATTGAAACTGCTCCCTGTCTGCCTTAATGATATGCTGTCTGGGAGAGAGTCATTATAAGACACTCTGTATTCACAGTCCCTTCCATCTGAAGGGACATAATATACAAATGTTATCAAACTTAGCCATCTCCATGGCAAATGAGGAAAGGGAAGAAAATAGGTGAAAAATCTTGTTCTTTGCATGGTATAACAGAGTGGGGAAAAGGCAATTGAAGTTAGCCCTTTGTTTCTCAAACTTCAAAAACTAAAAGTGGGAAGAAATCCCACCATAGAAGAAACCTTCCACATTTAAAGCAGTCAGACAACAAGCCCTCATGTATAAACCAATATGTTTTTAAACCTTCATGCAGAAACAAGGTCTACTCAACCAAGCCTCCTAAGGTGAGTGGGGTCTCAATTAATGTTAGGTCCATCCTGAGGGTCAGATCTGCCTTAGTTTTTTGCTGGGTTTTTTTTCCTCTAGACTTCTATCATGCTTGTTCAAGTTCAAAGTCAGTTTACATTATGATGCTTTATTATGAACTATTTTATTCTCAGAGAAGAATGTGCCCGAGCAATCCAGTCTTAGACATCTATATAAGACTGAGTTGTATTTCTTACCTTGGGGACTAAAAATCCATCGATGTATTGCACAATGATTTGAGAACAGCCAAGGTCTTCTGTCAAATTCATCTTTCTGGACTGAGACACAGATTTTCTGGCTCTCTTAATTTAAATAAGCTTCTTTCTACCAGACACAGAGTACAGCATCTGATCCACATAATCTTATTGCTTCTGAGAAACACACTGGTTACAAAACGTGTTATTTGGCTTTGATGTGTTATTCTATCAGGTTCAGCTTTTTCCTTCCGTCATCAAGTATAAGGCTAAAGAAGCACTGTGAATTAGAGCTTGTACTGTCAGTTCATCAGTGAGAAACACACTGACACCTCAGAAGCACTTGAAAGCTTGTAACAAGCAAAACAGAAATCAGTACAGAAGAATTGCAAGAACCTGAACTCAGCATGATGAACCAGAGTTCATAAACCAAAGCAGAATATTACTTTAGGCTTTTTCAAAAGCATAGATCCTCCACTGAGCTGGCTTTTGGTGTGGGAAGGCTTCACAAAAAGAAACAAAAGATAGCAAGGGATAAAATGTAAAAAACCTTAATTGATCTGGCATGGAGCTCGGCCAGACAAGTGTGGGGAACAGCAGCTTGCAAAACATGATCTGTACATTTTCCCTCACCTTTTCTCTATTTCACTAGGCTGGTTCCTCCCCTACCCACCTTGATTCCTCCATTTAGCCTTTGGCCCTTACTCTAAACACTCCAAATTTCCCTCAAGTCCCACAGTAATTAACCACAAGCCCACTTTATCTTCCCATGATGTTTTCACTCTGATAATCCCTTTGATCATTTTGTTTCTGCCCTTCTTCTCAGCTAAAAATATTTGGCTGAACTTCTTCATGGCTTTGTGGGAATCCTCCAGTGTCCCATCCACTAAGGGGACAGGGAGTTCTAATATTTGTCCCTGTGCTTCTCATTGCCTGTTTGCTAGCTTTTGTACCTAGATGTGGTTGATTACTACTTTTGTCTCTTGCCTTTGTCTGTGAGGCTGAAGAGCCCTTAACAATCTGTCTCAAAACTCAGGTACCCTCACATTATAGATTTCTTAATATTCTTAACATTCAAAATGTCATAATATATACAACTGAGAAACAGTATCTGTTTCCCAGCTTTTAATACAACAAGGTCTCCTATGTTACCAAAATACTAGGCCTAAACATACAAAAGTCAGAGCAAATTCCAAACTCTAGAAAAATGTACAACTCCTCATTCTGGACAACATAGGCCAGAATCTGTGAAGCTTGTATTTGACAAGACATCATTTTTAATTTTTGCTTGTTTTTAATAAGCATTGAGAGGTGAACAGTTTTGTCAAACCATAGCATCCTTAGCATTCCTATCACAGCCTGGAACTGCAGTCTTCCTTTTGTACTATAAATGCTGAAAGAAGAAACCAGCAAGGTATAACACAGGCACTGATTCATTCATCACAGAGAAGGTTTATGGGTTTAAGAGTGTATTCCATTTCAACAAAGCATTACCTATTTTAAAGGTACAAAACCTTCAGTGCAAAACAGCACTGAACAAAGACTTAATACATATCCTTCTGACAGCATGAGTCTTAAGTCATTCTCAAGCCTCATACTGAGCTGTTGAGAAAAAACCCAATAAATTTTATGTGCTTAAAGTCAGCCCCTGACAGCCAGATTGCACCAATATGTAACATAAAGGCCTATTTCCTATTTAAAGGGATGTTTCACCCTGTAGCAATTAAATTGCTTTTAGCAAGCCTGGACATGTATGCTGCACCCTTTCAGAAGCTGCATGGTGTGGGAACAGCCAGTTCTGAAAAGGCCACCATACTGGCAGCCTTTCAGAAGACATTGTGCTCAGGGAGTCAGCGCCTTGGACAGGCCACATCTGCTCTGAGGGCCTGAGAAGCTCATGTGTTATTAAGGTAATCTGTAATCCATAAAATATTTGGGAAAGGTAAGCTGCAGGTGGACCAAGTAGTGGAAAGCACTGATCCTAAGCAGGAGCTTTTTGTACATGCAGGAGTCAGTGCTGCCATGGCAGCTGCCATGCTGTGTGCCCAGGGTGACCTCAGGCCTGGGCTGTGCCCCAAACACCCCTCAGCCCAGGGGGGCTCAGGCAGCTCCCACTCCCACACCACCATCACAGCCTTGTCTTTAACAATGCAGCAACAAGTTCTTGTGAGAACAGCCTCTTTCTTGTAAGAAAATTATAACCCAGATGACCCAAAATTAGGTATTTCCTTCCATAGACAGTTTCTGTACAACTTACTGGGGAAAAATCCAACAGGGCTCCATGCAGTGCTTGATGGAGCATGGACAGATGTGCCTGGCATCTGAAGAAACATCAGGATTTACTCGCTATCTATCTGTCTCTTCTTTCTCATTAACACAGTTGTTTTATCAAGCCATTTTTTGCAGGCCTTGCTTTCTGAGTTCCCGAAGGCACACCTGCCTTCAGTGTAGAGCATTCTGCATAACCCTGAGAGAGCTTCACTCAAAATGTTGCATTCATTCAAAATGTTGCTTCATTCAAAGTGTTGAAGCTACACTAAGCTAGTCTGCAATAAGGCTTTTTTGAAGGGCTAAAGCATTAGAAGGGAGAACACTGTGGGGAATTTTGGGGGGAAACCCCACACATTAATAGAAGCACACAGAGCTCAGGAGAGCCTGTGGACAGGTCCTCATTGCCTCAAGGGCTCTCTAGAGCAGGTGAGTAGAAGAATGGAGAGCTGAACTTTGGACCCAGCAGGGAACCTGGAGTGTGGATCCCACCGTCCCACAGTGGTTCTACAGCCACAGATCCCGTGGGACAATTTCCCACCCTTCTGCCTTCCATTTGAGGTCTCCTTTGGCAGGATGTTTCTAGGCAGCATTCAGGCCCCAGTCTGTGCCTGATCCTGCTGCAGTGGGGTTGTTTGTCTTTCTAAGCAGGGGTCCCTTAATCTGTGCCTCTCCTGCTTTTTTCTTGCTTAGTTATTGTTTCTTTCTTTATACTTGAAGCAGCATTTTTCTCAAGGCTATGCTTCTTCAATGACCCACAACTATCAGCAAGTACTAAAAAGCAGCAGCCACCAGCTTCCAGTTAGCATGTTAAGATGGCAAATTTCCTGGCTTTTCCTGCCCTCTGCTGTTTTCTGTAACTCCCAAGCCATCAGGCCAAGGCCCTGCTGGAAGTTTCTGTCCTCTCACAGCAGCCTGGGGAGCAGCTGACTTCACTCAGCCAAGTCAAGCACAGCCGGTCTCAGTTCTTCCTGCTGTTCCCTGCCCTGGGCATTCTTCTGCTCTGAGCTGATTCCCTCCAGCTGTGGCCAGCTTTCATTCATTATTCCTAAGCCATACTGGAGCTAGAAAATGTATCTCAGTCAATATGGCAAAAAACTCTGTGAAAGGGGGAAAGAACTCTAATGGCAGAGCCATCTGCTTCAAACAGAAAACCTCTCACTGCAGCACCATGAAAGGGCATGAACTTGAGAACAGCTTTCATTACCAAAAATGGATAACTTGGAAACCTCCACCTTCCTTCCTTTCTTCTGGCATAAGGTTTTTGAAAGCTTTTTAACATATCCAAGAACAAGCAAAAAACAAGGACAAGAGACCTTATATATAGCAAGGTGTCATCAGAAATGTCTGCTGGAACACAGAAACTGTAGAACAAACAGGGTTTTAATTTGCCTGCATGTAGCAAAGCACTTATTTCAGGCTCTCTTCACAGTATTTGTCATTTAGAAGAAAAAACAAAACCCTCCCCAAAATCCAACATTCCAATCATGCCAGCTGTCCCAGCATGTCTCTGTAACTGCAATATTAGAGCCTTATGTCTCCTGTGTGTACTGAGGCTACTTTCTCCCTGTCCTTCTCCTACAGTGACATGAGTGAGAGGCTCCTGTAGATGGCTACTGAGTCAACTGTATCAAGCTCCTCTAGTATCCAGCTTAATGGGCAAATGCAATTACTGTTCCAGAAAAAGCTGCAGAGTGATTTTTAGTGCCTTCTCCAAATGTTTCTCACTTCAGTAATGTATTATTCTGCTTCCAAGAACTGCATGGGTAATGGCAGACTGTGTTTGATCAAATGATTTAAAGAAATGGCAGGAGGCATGCAGTAAGGACAACCCAAGTACATAACAAAATGACTTCACAGCATCATCTTCCTACCTGTCTTGTAATAAGAATCCCTGGGCTTCAACCAGACATGAAAGTACAACACTTTTTCATAATTTAAATAAAAGTCTAAAGGAAATAAAAAATTATTTTTTCATGCAAAATTCCCCAAGGCTCAGACACAATTTCTCCTGGAAGAAGATTTTCTCTCTGAAAAGACCATAAGGAGATATAATTTGCTCTGGTTTTATTATATCAATATTTCAGGAATACAAATGCAGGCACAAAAGCTCAGTACAGGGATTAGTTTTGTTTTGCAGGAACTCAAGTGCAAATTCAGCTCTGCTTTTGTCAGATAGTGTTAAAAATCAGAAAGACTGATACAAGCTGAAGCAGACACACTACACTTTTCTTTTGTGGATTGTTTCTTGTGGAACAGGTGCTGTTCTTTCTTTTCCTCCCAGATCCAAAGGCAGCCAAGCCAGGCTTCCAGATTTGTAATACATGCATGTTGAAGATCTGTTATTAGTGACTCTTTTGACTGTGTATCAGCTTACAAAAAGTTGGCAGCCTTAATTAAAAGCTAGGCTAATCATTGCCCACTAAGAAGAACAGCATATTTCTCAACCTCTTCTGTTTCGTTACATACATAAAACACATACTACTATTTCCTTCCTAAAACAGCATCATAGAGTTTTCCAGTCCTCTTTACTTGAATCACTCCAAAGCCAGCTGCCTTCAGGAGCTTGCTGTACTCTGCTGCTGTTCTCTCTTTCCCTTCTGTCTGCACCAACATATTCATCGAATACAACTGAGTTTCTATAGGCCCACTTCTATCTTCATTCAGAAGGGATTCAACCAGCAGCACTCCCCCACCTGGTGGAGAGAAGAGAAGAGAAGAGAAAGAAAACACAGCCTGAGCTATGAAAAGGTGAGCTAATTTTGAGCTGTTACTAGGACAGATCCTAACCTTGCTTTCAGGAAGAGGCAGTCTCTACATTAAGTCCCATTTCAGCATCACAGAAGACAATGAAAGAGCCAAAGCATTAGAGGATATCCTTGCTCAGCTATGTTGGTACTGACATCCCAGAGCTGAAGGAGGTGCTATGGCTGTGCTGAAAATTTCCCATTTTCCTCAGCTGAAATTAACAGGACCTTACTAATTTTGCTTTGTAGGCAGTGCTTTTGAAACACTGAGGCTTCATTGTGATGCTTAATGGGATTTTTTGCTGTGCTGTATACACCTATCTAAACAATAGTAAGAGTCCCTCTGCTCTTCAAGAATTCACACCTACCAGGTTTGCAAGCTTTGTAGACTTTTGCCAGCAGTTGTTTGCATTTGTCATCATCCCAATCATGCAGTATCTTGGATAAAATATACAGTTCAGCTTCAGGTATTGAATCATTAAAGAAGTCTCCTGTGAAGCAAGAATACATGCATTATACAAATCCCCACAACACTGAGAGCTGAGTTATGCAAATATTTTTAGTTCTGTTCAATTCCAGGCTTGCAATGTCCTTCAGACATATCAGATGGCACTGGAGGTACCAGGTGAAAGTCCTCTGTTGCACTGCATAGGGAATTTTGCTCTTGATCAGTCTCAAGAAGATCTGAAACATTTAAAGGCAATAACTCATCCTGAAACAGACTGATGCACAGAAAATAATTTGAATTTAGGCTTTCTCCAATGACAGAAATTCAAATTCATACTGCACTAAGGACATAGGTTCACACAGTTCCTGTCATGAGAAAGAAGGAAAGAATATTGCCTTCTCTAAGAAAGTTTTCAAAGATCATCTGTAATCACAGAATTATTCCATAAATCCGTAGGTAAAAATACACATCTCTCACCTCCATCACTAGCTTGTTATTCCTTTTGTTCAGCACCTACTGTACTGCATTCAGATTTTTCTTCTCAGCACTTTACTTTGTCGTTTCTTCTCCGATTTTGTTGCATCTTTGTTTTTATACACTCCCTTCCCTCCTCAACGCTCCTTTTCTCTCTCTCAGCTCTGAGCAATTTTAAGCACTTCCAGCACTTTGAAGACTTTTGTAAACATTAAAAGTGAGATCTTCCTATACTCATTTTTCTCATACATAGTACAAAGACTATGCGGGATCAGTGGTCTGGGCAAGATGAATAGAAACTAACTCACCCACTTTTATGCTTTAAAATATCTTAGGACTTGAAGATCAATCAGTTGTGACCAGAGAAGGAAAAACTCATGTTCAGAGCAGACCTGGCATCCCTCACATCTGCCAGGAGGTTTGCACAGGAGAAAAAGGGAGTGTTAGGAAAATTCATAACAAAGCATAGCAGATTTCAAAATTGCATGATGCTTTTTTTTTTTTTTTTTCTTTATTTTGCTAATGTACCATTGTTCTTAAGAAATGAAATAGCTCTCTTCAGGAATTAATGTTGCTGAATAACTGAGTTGTGTCTCTGACAGCTGCTGGTGGACAGCTGGGACAGCTGCAGAGCTGGACTGGGGAGGCTGCAGCCTGAGACACTGTCCCCATAAGGGGCAGCTGGAGACCTAAGCCTCCAGTATGACACCTCTGAGCAGAGCCAGGGCTCTGGAGCCCCAGCTGTGACAACCCCACACCACTGTCCCTACCTACCTTCATGGAAAGTGATCTGATGCTCCTCGGGGGAAACAAACTGTTCTTTGGCCACCTGCACAACTTTGGGCAGGTCATAAATTGTGACAGTAGAATTTGGATACAAAGAAACACACTCTTGGGCCAAAGCTCCTCCACCTCCTTTGGGGACAGGAAAAGAAGGTCAGTACTGACACAAACCCAACCTGTTCAGTGACATCCCCATGAAAGTATACAGGCAATGGTACATTCAGCCTCATGGAAGCTGGCAATGTACATTTGACCCCTTGAGACACCTCTTCCCATGCGATGCTGGGAGGGAAGAGGAGGGGCAGGAGAAGTCACTGTTTCCATGTGTTCTGCAGGAAGGCCTGGGGGCAGCAGCACCCAGGCATGTGGGGTCAGCCCCTGCCCTTACCACTCTTACACTCCCTCCTAGCCAGACCAGCTGCAGGTGTTGGAAGGTGAAAAGTGAAAAACAATCACTAAACCAAGCTCTGGGAAAGAAGTGAGGGAGCCAGGAGGGAGCCTGCCTTGTCATGTGAATCCTGGCAGCACTCAGCAGTGCTGGGACAGCAGGGTCCTGCAGGATAAGAGGCTGTAGGCAGTACCTCAACAATATAGACTGTAAGGGAAGAAGGAGAGAGTCTGGCACTGGAAGAATGCATCAAACAAGGCATAAAAAATGCTAAAGCTGCCACATCCACAAGGGGATGAGTGACTGCCTACATAAATCAGACTGTAAAGAAAAACATTCAGCTTTCTAATGCTCTCATCACTCTCACGTTTCTGTTTTTAACCAACCAAATCAGTAAAATTCTCCTTATATTGTCATGTCCTACTTTCCACTGTTTTGCCCATCATATAACCTAGGAGTAATTTTCCTCTGCAGAGCTTATAAAAAACAGTTTAGAGGCTTATTAAAGAAGATCTTCTGACACTCACCTCCCAGGTCATAGATCTGCCTGAAAGGGGAAAGGTCAAATGCAGCAAGGACATCTCTGCCACATATACTCCATACTGAGTTCTGGCCAGCCATGAATTTTAGCATTTCTTCATCTGATCTAGCAAGGCAAACAGAGCACGGAAAGAGGGTTCCTTACCACATCCTCAGAGATTCCTATCATATAACTGCTGCTACATGTTTTAGCTTAAACAAAAATCTCTGGCTTTATTGACACAGAATATGTCTTCTTTGCATATAAACCTACCTTGAATATACTGTATCAGGAGTGTACAGCTATGAATTCATGCATTTAAATAGGGAATTAAGACTAGTGAAATCCAACAGTGTATTAAGCTGCTCATTCTCAGAATTTCCAAGGGACTTTTTTTTCCTTCAACTATCATTGCCTCTGTCAGAGATCTGTGATGTGTTTCAGGTTAGAAAATTACATACTTCAATTCAAAATATCAGACAGTGTCGCAGTAATTGATATTGTTGAGAAGTAAAAACATTGCATGATGCTGATGAGAGGAATTCTCACCTCATCATATTTAATTGTCCTGAGTCAATGTTAAAAACATTAGTTTTATCCATAACAAGAAGAATAAAACTTCTATAAATATTTTAATGGTTACCTGTACATTGCTCCAAAAGGGTCTTTAGATGATACACCAAAAGCTCTTTCATACTGGTTTCTTCCTTCTCTAAAATAGTAATTGAAAAAGCCTATGAGAGTGCTGATATATTTCTCAACCTCTCTCAAGAATGGTTCTTTTCAAGACCAGGGTGGGATGGCACTTTGAGCAATCTGATGTAGTGAGTGGCATCAATGGTAGGAAGGTTGGAACTAGATGATCTTTAGAGCCTCTTCCAACCCAAACCATTCCAGGATTCTGTCATTTATGGGAGCACATCTGAGGTAAAGGTACAAGACTGATACAATCATCACCGTCATCTACACCATGTTTGGTCATCATGTTTGACATGGACTGGAACAAGTGAGACTCCAGACCCAAACTTAACTGCCCCTATAAACCTTTGCAACAGAAGGACCCTTAGCCACCACTACTCATTATTTACTTTGTTGATGCCACATCCAGTAAGATCCACTGTAATGATAAAGTGCTTTACTGAAGGTGACACATAAAGAAATCTGATTTCTAGATCATCTCTACAATAACAGGGAAAAGGAAAACAAGAACATACACAAATGGAAAACAAGGAGGGGGGGAAAAGCACACATATGGCCACGTTAACAGCTGAATTATCTGTTGCTTTTAATTTCTGAGAATGAGTCAGCATCTTTACTGAGCTCTTCCCCAGAAACACAACACTCAGAGCTGTGACACAGATGCTGCAAAGCACCAGACAGCACACAGCACTCCTCCTTACCTCACAGCATCAGCCAGGTACTGCCAGCACAAGTAGACTGTGTTGGAATAATACATCATAATGTGATACTGAGACTTTGGACTTGATTTTGTAAGGTAGACATTGGAAATTTCTGTGTTTCTGTAGAGGGCTAAAGCATAAAATAAATATATTTACTAACATATATGATATATCACCTTGCCAAGTCTGTTGTAGAGCTTGGTGTTTATCACCAGAAGATGTCTATACAGTCAAAACCACAGCCACATTACTTCTACAACCAAAGCCTTCCACTGCAATGAGCAGTGGGTGAGAGCTGCTGAAATCTGTGTTGCCTCATTCCATCTAGGTAAACACCATCTCCCTATGCTTAACTCCAGCCCCAACTATTTCTTTCAAGAAGAGCAAAAATAATGCCTTTTAAGAGATGTCATTTGTGTTGGGGAGGATGAAACAAGAAAGCCTTATAAATATGACTGCCTGGCAAAAGATTTTGAGAATATAGAAACTATAAGTGAGATTGAAATGAAAGCAACCTTTGAGATCCCTTAGTTGCTGAACAATGGGAAAACAATGATGTGACCAGCTGAATGTAATCCCTCCTGGAGGAAACAATTCCCTCTGCAAGCAGGCAGGCCTAAGTGTCAGAGCAGACCCTGCAGCTTGGCAGATGGGGCCCAAAGAGTAAGATTTAGGGTTTAAAATGTAAACATAGTATGGTAATGTAGTGATTCTTATAGGTGGTATGGAAATGTTATAGGATATGCATGCTGTAGTAGATTGGTTAATGAGAATCTGAATATTCAACACAGAAGATGATTTATTGTATTGTAACGGGAACTTCGCGCTCTTCACTCTGTCTCACTCTATCTCATTCTGCACTCTTCTTTGCGCCCTTTTCTCTCTTTGTCTCTTTGTCTTCTCCTCTGCACTTCTTCACCCCCTCCTCTCTACATACTCTCCACTCTTAAACCTTTGCTTTTAACTCTCTTACACTTTGGGCCTCTCTTCTCTCAGGCCTGCTCCGAGCTGCAGCTGGCAGCTCCCAGCAGGGCCCTTCACCCACGCCCTTTGCAATAAACTGCAAGTTATACGACTTGGCTTCAAAGAGATCTCTTCTCTGTCCGTCCCAACCGTGCGACCCCCCTGCAGCTCTTACAATTTACATACAGGCTTCTCCTCTCAGAGGAAGCTTTCAGTGTGCTCTAAGTGAGAAGTCTTTGCAGACAAGTCTTCTTTCTGATCAACAAGGTCAGCAGGTGGGGGTAAGTCCCCAAAACAGCAGGCCAGCCACACACACCCTCCCTCAGTTCACTAGGACAGAACCTTCTGCAAACAGAAGAATGCCTAAAGGACTCCCAGAAATCTCCCCACTCCCTCCAATCTGCAGCATCTGCTGTGGCACCACTCACCCACAGGACTTGCATACCAAAGGAATATAAAAGATAGATCCTGCTCTCCCCAAACCCATTGGGCAACAACTATAATTCCTAAAGCAGAGTATGCCGACACAAGGCAGGGCAGGGGACACAACTTGTGAGACTCTAGCTGCTCCTGACCAGCTGTCTGATCCTTTCTGTCCAAGTGGACTCCATGTTTCTGACATAAGGAAAAACTTTTATCACCTCTCAGTTCTGATCAACAAAATAGTTCACATAATGGTAAAAACCCTAAGAAGAACAAAACCTGTTTTAAATCACGCTGTTACCATCCATCCTGGCATTTTGTTTTAAGTTTAAAATCCTGTCCATATCACAGAGATTTCTTGAGACAAGCTCCACAGAGCTTTTGAAGTTATCCTAAATATCTTCTCCAAAGTCACATGTACAAAGACATTTAGGAATATAGAGCCCTGTGCCTGTGTTTTATGTTACACTAGTGATCCTGCTGACATTTGCCTCCTCTTTCAGCTGAAGAGTAAATCCTAAGAGTGATTCTCTCCTTCTTCCAGCTACATTAACTGACTTAACATTTGGTATCACCTTTGCCCACACATCTTACCTCACTTTCAAAACCATCAGAGGTTTAAATCTTGCAATTTATTTCCATTCCTCTGCCTTTATTACCTCCTTCTTGTGTCATCTCTACTGCCAAGAGCTTCAATCCCACACAGGCATCCAGCAGTCTTCTCATCCCCATGGTGCTGACACCCAGACCTGCAGCAATGGTATCTGAAGACAGAGGCTTTCCTGACTCCAGAAGAAGATCAAACACCCCCAGCTCACAGGCAGTGAACATAACCTGGGAATAGGGAAAGATGGGAGTGAGGGATTAGGTGAAAGCACAAAGCCTACGGCATTTCACAAGCTGCTTAACTAGGGAAAGTATAAATTTAATAATATTTATTTCAGATAAACTTGTATTTCACATAAACAAGTCCAATTATTAAATTGTAATTTATCTGAGTACCGATACAACATACAATGCATATAATGCACTCGTTAGTCTTATTTTTTTTCCTTTTCCGGTGAAGCCAGCCAATGCTCTTTGGCTTCCAAAAGTCCACATTTAGAGACCAGATTTTGTGTGTAAATGTCCCTGCCTCTTCCCTAGTTTAGGAACACATTCTCACAGTCTCCTAGAAAGAACAAAGGCAAGTCTAGGTGGGGGTGCTTGTTGTGTGTTTATGTTTCCATTCTTTAACTAAGGATCTAGCACATGTTTCAGTGAACCCTGGAGAATCTCTCATGGCTTGCAATAGGGTGAATATCCCATTCTATGGACCTTGTTTTCAGGGACTGATGTGAATGACTACAGTGATCTTCCAAAAGCAGGGAGGTTCCTCTCATCCAGAAGAACAGCTTCATTTAACTGCACAAAACTGCCCAGTCTTTCCCTAGAATTGTTTAATTTCTCCAGCAAAATACATCAACCTTCGGACAAACACAGCTAACCATACGTTAAGAAAAAAAGAACCAACCATCTTTCTTTGGCTATGCACAGTCAGTCTTACAAGTATGAGCCTATTACTCTGGTCACATAAATACTCCTGAAACAGTAACAAAGACATCAATTTAACAGACTGCCTGTATCTACAATGATTTGAGCTACAATGATTCCTGTACAATGAACCTCCTTTTACCTCAAGTAAAAACATGGCTTAACATGGCTAAAGTTGAAGTCGTTTCTCTAAAACATGGTACTAATAGTGTTAATTTGGAAAGCAGTGGGCACCTCTTTTTCTCACAAAGTGATTTTTCATTGTCTATTTTTCCTCTCTTTATTGTCAGCTCTGCCTTTCAGGAGCTTAAGGTGCAGCGTTTTTTGCACAACCAAAGAGCATTCCTTCTGTTACCATGTTGGCCAGAAGATCAGCAAGGGACAATAGGAAAGTTAAGTAGTAAATGAGGAAAAAATCATCCACTGCACTGGATGTTAAAATTTTAGGCCCATGTGCTTAAGCAAATAACATGAGCAAACAAAAAGAAGAGTGGAATTACTAGTTTTGCCTTTGTGCCTTAAAAATATCTTTGGAAAAACAGTCATTATAGCAGTGCTTTCACCTCTTCCAAAGACTTACATTTAGGATCTAAAGAGAAATCCCTAATATTTCTTTCTGCATACTCTTTCTAAGAGTTATATTTCTTACCTTTGAGATTAAAAATCCATTGCTGTATTGCACGATGATTTGAGGATAGTCAAGGTCTTCTGTGGAACCCATCTTCCTTCTGGACTGAGACACAGATTTCCTGGCTCTCTTAATTTAAATAAGCTTCTTTTAACCAAACACAAAGCACACCGGCTGATCCACATAATCTTATTGCTTCTGAGAAACACACTGGTTACAAAACATGTTAGCTGAATTATTTGGCTTTGGTGGGTCTTTCTACCTGGTTCAACTGTTTCGTTGGATCTTCCATCATCAAGTATAAGGCTAAAGAAGCACTGTGGATTAAAGCTTGTATTGTCAGCTCATCAGTCAGCAACACAGTGGTACCTCAGAAGCCCTTGAAAGCTTATAACAAGCAAAACAGGAATCAGTACAGAAGAATACCAAGAACCTGAACTCAGTGCAATGCACCAGCATTCATAAACCAAAGCAGAATCTTACTTGGGACTTGAAATTTGCTGTGGGGACAGTCCAGGGGACCCTGGGCTGGCAGTAGGGTACACCTCATCCCTAAGTGCAGAAGCAGCAAGTACAAAGAGAAGCTGTAAGAATCTGTTGCTGTTTTCTTGCTGTGATTAGTTTGCTCTGAAGACGATCACTCAGATGAAGCCTACAAGGATGTAATCTACATTTTTTTTCTTTTCTGTATTTTGCAGGTCCTCCCAGCCAGCCTGATACCAGCTTAGAAAGGAATACTTGGAGCACTTCACTAGGGGTGTCCTACTTGTATTTTGCCATATTTTGACAGAGCAGGGTGTTGAGGGGTAACAACACATTTGCATTTTCCAGCTGATTACTACAGTTTTCCTCCCCTTCTCTGCAAAACAAATCATGGGCAGCAGAAGGCCCTTGGGAAGAAACAATGAAATGACTGCAAAGTGCAAGATGGGGCATGGATTTCAACTTCACACAGGACATACCTCATAGGTTTTCATCAGAAAATTAAACCCCTGGATTACTTTCCTGAAATCTTGCTTCCCCATTTCTCTGTCTGACATCTTGCCCATCTCACCTCCAGGTAGATGTGGCAACATTCAGGTGAGGAAGATCCTTTCCATCAGGGAAAAGACTCAGATTTTATATCACACATTTAGTGACCCTTCAGGAAACAATGTTAAATTAAACCTTATTTAGGTAGTACACTGAAGGCAAAATGTGACAAACCAGCGTTTTTTCAGTGGCAGCTTTCTCCATGCTTCAGATTCCACTGTATGATCTTTCTCTGCATCTGTACTTTCTAACTAAATTGTGCATAATTGCACATCACCAGCCAAAGGTAACTATTGTTACCCAAAAAAAAAATATGTTGTATGAAAATAAAAAACCAATTCTCTTCTAAAGGCCAATTCTACATGCTTCTGAGAAACTGGTGCAATTTCATGCAAGCTTAAGGATTTCCCACTCTTGGGAACATAACAGCTATTCAGCCCCATAAATGCACTTCACTTAAGGCAAAGTTATATGGTACATGAGTCTCCACTAATAAAATGACCACACATTGATTAAATACACTTGAAGTTCTTTTTCAATTATAACTAAATCTGTCTGTTGAGGATACCAGTTATAATCATCTAATGGGATTACCACTAGTAGTGAGATGTAGGGGAGGAGGCTTGCAGATAACTCACACCAGATTGAAAAAAAGCCACAAGCAGAAGCTGTTTCCAAGTAAATTGCTAGTGAGGCTTAGAGTTTAAGCTCCTTTTAAGCTAGAAATGCATTCATGAAGATGAAATTGCAATGGCTTGCTTTCTATGAAAACCCTATCAAGATTTCTCTCATAGGGCCTAGACCACATGCAGGCTAAAGCCCTTATTGTACCACCACAGTTCTATTTCAGTGATGCATTTTTCTTTGCCTAAATGACTCACTACAGTCCAATGCTACACAAAAACCAATTATGTCATTTTTGCATAACATTTGAAAGTAAGAAATTATCTATGAACAAAGGAGATTTAGTTAAATGAATGTGCCTGACAGTGAGAATATAAGCAAAAACTACAAATCCCAGGTATGTGACCACAATGAGTTTCAATAATTCCAGTAGAGAGCAACTCTTCCTTGCTATCATGACCAAGTCTCTAAGTATACCCAGTTTATAACATATGCCCTGGAAAGGCCCTGAGGCATTATTTTGTGGTCTTTTTTTAAACAATCCTAATAAACCAAGATACTCAATATCATACTTTTTCTTTGAAATAGAATATCAAGTTTAAAATGCTCTTTTCTTCTTTGTAGCTTCTAATTATTCTCATATTTTACAACAGATGCATTTTCCAAGTAACATAACTATTTCCATCACTTTTGACGCACACCAATTTTAGTTTTTTCCTGTTTTCTTCACATATAATAATAGCAAATATTTGGAGTGGGCACAAAAACCTGTATCTCCAGCTCATTTTTTAAGCAAACCCTCCCTTCTCTTTAGATTCACTTACAGTAAAATCTCTGAGAATATCTTTTAAAGTGCATCTCAGGCAATCCAGAGTTGTTCTTGGTTTAACTTGTGGATAATCTCTCAACAAATAATTCAACTAAATAATCATTGAGATTCTATCAGAGGAAAGTCCCAGGAGATTAGAGTCATAGTTTTCCCGAGGACAGCCAGCTAAACCAGCTACAAGTGGTGGATGCAGAAACTTTAGAGAGAGAGACAGATGCAAGCAGAAAACCAAGATAGATAGCAGCTGAGGTAGGCTCTGATTTCAGAATTTTCTTGTGTTCTGTCAAGAATCACAAAGGAAAACCTTGGATACACAACTGCTTTAAACAGGCCATTTCAGAGGCTTTGCTTTGTTGGAGATGGCAGGAACACCTTCCTGCCCAGGGGAGGTGGTGAATAAATTCCTCATTTTGCCTTGCTTGTGCACATAGCTTTGGCTTTACCTTTATATTGTGTTTATCTCAATCCATGAGTTTTTTCACTTTTACCCTCACAATTCCCTATCCCATCCCACTAGGGGTGTGTAAACACCTGCATGGAGCCAGCTGCTATAAATCACAGCAGAAAGACACGTGCAATGAACAAAAAAGATTTTTTTCCAACTCTTCCCTTTTACAGGGAAGGTAGAAAGTAACAGACACCACTAGGCAATTCCTCAGAGTGTTGACATGTCTGGGATCATGTGCAGAATTGCAGGGAAAATCTAAGTGGAGGTGATCAGTTCTTGTTCGGACACTTTGCTGGCAGTGCCTGGGAGTGACATCCCTCCATATTGTCCTACAAATAGTCCAATATCATGGACAGCACACCTGAACATCCCCTGCAGAGCAGGTAGAGCTCACCTGGCAGGTGCCACAGTGCACATGCTGTTGGATTAGTTATCAATTAGAGAGCAATTCCAATCAGCCTTAGCCCTTCAAAAATTTCATAACGTATGCTATGGCAAAGCATTAGCCTGAGCTAATCAATTAATTTAATTTTTTTTTGTCAGGCAGCAGGAGATTCAGGTGCAGCATGAGGGGGTACCAGACCAAATTCCTTTCCTTTCTTGCCACTAAAGAAGGAAGGATGGTGGTGCACATCACTTCAAACAAGCCTCCAGAGCCCAGTATTACATTAATATAGGACACTTGATTCATTCTGTGCATTCATTCAGTTCTGAAGCATCAACCCAGTTCTGAAGAATCAACAGCAACTAGATTGCTGCTTTATACAAACACTAGAGACAACTGCAAATTTATTGTGAAGCAGCAAAAGATACCTTCTGCAAGTAATATGCTCATTAGACTTGGGAAAGACCAGATCAACAGCATGTAATGTAAGCTTACTAAAATGTGTGTTGTATTCAGAATAAACAAACCTCAGAAGCAGGATACCAGATCAAGACACAAGCAATGCATAATAAACACAAATTTGATCTGTATAATAATACAGGACATCAGTGGCCAATTTTGCCCATACATTTATGAATTAAGGTATTTGCCAAACTAGTTGGTTTAATTGCTGTTTTATATAGAATGTAAAATCTCTAGCTCTGCTATCAAACCTGAGTGGCCACAATAGTCTGTTATATAATCCTATATAAGAACTGCCCTAAAACTGACATTGGTGCCAAATTCAGGTAGTCCTGATCACCAGTTGACTCTCACTAGTTTGTCTTTATAGCTTGTGGCACTGATAGAATCTTGTGTTCACAATTTTGGGTGCAACTGCAAAAACTCCCCTTTTCTCTGTCAGATTTAAAGATGATGCTTCCAGGTAACATATTTTTATATACATACCTAATTATGCCTCTGTCTTTATTTTAGGACACTGGATAGATTACTCTGCAAAGGTAGAGCCCGTTAGAAACAGGATTTGGATATGGTTCCAGCTTTGGTAATAATTTTTACTAATATAAATTACTGCTGGCAATTTGACTCACACATTATCAAAATTCCTTTACCACAGCAGGTAGTAATCAGATGGAAAATATCACAATAATCATATTGAAGGGCTTTGGCCTTGCTGTTGTACCAAAGCTGCTGTCGTTTGACTAAGCTGCTTCCCAAGCCTAGTGCAGGCTGAGGCTAGGAGATAAAAAGAAAATTGCAGGTCAAAGGGCTGGTACGTGCAGAGGCTCATCAGCCCTCAGACAGATACAAGAGGAGACATTCCTTAAGGATAAAACAGGACTATGCAGCAACACGGTTCATAGCAACAAGAACTTAGATTTGTTACCCCTTTGAGACTCCTGTTCTTCTTTGTTTCGCAAGGGCCGCAGAAAAACCATTCCTGGTTGCCGCTGCCAACAGCTGTGACAAGGCAGCAGCACATGCAGAGAACACATGCACCAGCTCCTGCCTAGAAAAGGGAGCTCAAGAGCTTTGGCCCACAAACTTCCTACCCTCTTCAGCTCAGACCTTGCTGAAAGCAGTCTGTGATTAGCAGGGTTCAGACCTCCAACAGAAAGAGGTGACATGCTCCTTGTATCACTAGATGATCAGTACACTTTAAAACTACGCATCCTCAAGAGCAAATAGGGTTCCCACTTGATCCTGTCCTTCTGGCAAGGACATAGAGGAGACATTGTGGTGTCAGATGTGAAATCTCTCCTGAAGCCACGTGCAACAATTGAGGTCCATTCTCACA